TACTAGGAGCAAGGACGCTACTAGGGGCTCCTGGCATCGCTACTAGGGGCTCCTGGCCTTGCTACTAGGAGCAAGGACGCTACTAGGTGCTCCTGGCCTTACTACTAGGAGCAAGGACGCTACTAGGGGCTCCTGGCATCGCTACTAGGAGCAAGGACGCTACTAGGGGCTCCTGGCATCGCTACTAGGAGCAAGGACGCTACTGGGGGCTCCTGGCCTCACTACTAGGACTGTATCTCTCTTGTATCAACAGGATCCTCGCGCCTCTTTGAGATGCTCCACGCACTTCTCGGGGCTTGGAGCTCCAGAAGTTGCTTGTCAGGCACGTGCAAGTTCAATTACTGTATGTTGCGCAGTAACCATGGGAAAGCACTGCCCCTGTTGTCCAGAGAAGCGCAACTTTGGGCAGGAAATGTCAGTCAATTTTCCAACCATGTATGCCCAGATCATTGTACGCAGGCGATTGCCGCTGCTTTTGAGAAGAAAAACGTGGAGATCCCTGCGTTGAAATTCCTATCAAGTTGCGATGTGGATTGTGCAACAACGCTGGGCTCTCTACACGCCATCGGTTTGCGCAGGAACCACCTGCATCATTTCCAAGATATCCTCGACCGATTCCGGGCAGCACGCACCACACAAACCAGTTGCGCCATCTATTGTTGCAAGTGTTTTGGGGTAATTTTTGTTTTGTTTTGGGGCTTGGGATTGCGCCATCAACTGAAATCCAGCGGTTACTTGTGAGGAGTGCCCCAGAAGCACAAGGAGATGTTTAACCCTTGCAACGCACAGAAGAACAGCTTTGCAAAGCGCAGAGAAGTGGCGCAATCTTTGATGTTCAAAAACACGGGCAGGCTCGCTCAAACCAAAGTGTGTTCAATGTAATGTGTGCATACTATGTGGGCATGCTCTAGTCAGGCCCATCCGTGCATAGTGGAAAGTACACTAGGTGGCCAAACACCAATCGTTGCATCAGGTGCAAAACATGCAATAAGACGTGCTCTTGGCCAGAGAACATCGATTTGGACATATCGGGTATGCCATGCAAGGGAAGCTCAACACGTGGCAAGATGCTTGGTGCTGATGACAGCTCTAGCCAATGCCAGTTCTTTGTTTGCAGTGCAGAAAGCTATCACTTTTTGGAAGGAGGCAACTTTCAAAGGGTTACCCCATCTACTTGCTCTACTGAGGCTGGTCTACCTCTATTCCACCCGGCCGATCGTGCGAATCCTTGAGAATGTCACGACGGGAGAGATAGGGGACATCACTGAAGAAATTCTGAGTGAGGAGTACATGTGGAGGAAGATTGTCACCGAACCACAAGAACCTTGTATGGATGTACTAGTCATGTTTGCGCCATCATGGATTCACAGTAGCTACACCATAGAATAACAGTAAATGGCGCAACTCCAAAGTCCAAGGTATCAATAAGAAAACATCTACTGTATCTGTTTCCATGCATGGGAGTTGCGCCATCTATTCTCATAATATTGGTTCGCCCGCCCGCTACTACCATGGGGCTCAGGATGCTGGCTTCTCTTGCATCAGCAGGAAACGCGCGTGGCACATTGGAATCCTGAAGGAGTGGGGACACTTTGTCCGAGAGCCAGAACAGATCTACACTGACCTATGCCAAGCTTTGAAAGACCAAACATTTCCGGCTACAAATGCATTTTGGGTTGACGAGAAAGCAGTTCTTGAAGCTGACATGAAATCAGTGAAAAAGTCCAAGACCAAAAACCAGACTTTGACTCTTTGCCCTGTCATTATTCAGTTTTAATTTGACTTTTGACCTTCCATATTCTACAGTAGGGCCGCGAAACTAGTGCTAGTATTGCAGTACTTGTGCCATGTACATTTTGCACACCCAAGTTACGACTTGCTGAACGCCTGGGAGAAGAAGAACTTGGTTGGGTACGAGAAGAAGTTCACTGATAAATTTGGCCACAGGGCGGACCGAGTATATCAGCTCAACCAAGAGCCAGACAAATTCTTCACTGTCACTTGTTTCATGCTTGGGACAATTTCTGCACCAGTCTGACCACCAGACCAGGTAACAGCATATGCGTTCAATTGATGAATTGTGCACCTTGTGCTGTACTGTAATTGTGTGTTTTCAAAATCTATGCTGTACTCTACATAGACAGGTGACACAGGGTCAGTAGATGGCGCAACATCTTGGGTGTGTGTTTTGAGGCTTCGAACGCTGAAGGCACCCTTCCTTGCTTCACAGCGTGGGGCCCGCAAAAGCTGTGGAGCCCTGTCCACGCAAGATGGCTCACAGCTCGCGAGAAGTTCCATCTTATGGGGTTTCCAGTTGTGGATGCAGTGGCCAATGAGTTTGGCGTCCAACCTCTTTCGCCAGAGACACTCCCAAATCCTCACGCCAGCATTGGACTGAGCATGTGTGTCCCGAACGTCGCTACGGTGGTGTTGACAGCCCTTTGCTGCATTGACTTGTCAGAAGCCAAGTTTGGTGTTCCAGCCGTCTGAGTGCAGCTCTTTTCGTTCAATGCCTAATGCAAATGTCTTTGCCCAGGCACAGCATTGTGAGGACTAAGCGAGTTCCCAGACAATTGGCTCCAGCCTTGGCTTCTCCATGCGGTTTTGTGGTTTGCAGTCAATTGCTCAACGGTGTTCAATGCTTTGACTTCATTACTGTGGGTATAAGCGAACCTTTGCCAGTGCATTTCTGTCGGGAATTATTGACGACGCTTTCCTTGGATTGTGTGTTGCGCCATCTACATGAGGCTCTTCCCTTTTCAAAGGCGGCGCCCACAAGCAAGGAAGAGGCCCTGGAACCCAGATTGCCAGAGTGACAAACCTTGTCAAATTCAGCTTCGCTTTGGCTTACCCACCAACCACACATGGATGGAAGCGTGGATGGAAGCTCAACCAGCTGTCAAACTTGGAGAAATTTCAAGAAAACACATGTCCAATTTCCCTTTTGTCACACGACACTTCACTGAGATGTGAAGCTGCTCTACATTTCTTGCTGCCTGCATTCGCTTGCAAGCGTGAGGCTCCCTGCAAAAGGAGACGGACAAAGGGTCCTTCTGAGGCCAGTGGCGTTGTCTCAGACTTTGGCGTTTCTTTCTCTGGTTTCTACTTGTTTTGGCGTTGCGCCATCTATATGA